CCTTGCCCAGCCTGGGTGCAGAAATGGGCTTTGTTTGCTCCACCAACACTGAGCAATGAATTCCTGCTTTAAATAGTGTCAGAGCCACTTCTCCTTTCCCCTGTGAGTGTTTGAAAGCAGGTGCTGTAAGAAGGGAACCTGAAAGAGCTCCTAATAACCACCCTTAAACCGAGTGGTTCAAGAGCCCCCGAGTGCCTGGAAGCAAAGTTTCTTTATTCCTCTCTCCCCCGGATCGGGCTGTGCAACTGTTGCTTCTGTGCTTTGTGGGAGTGAAATCAAATGTCAAATATTCTGCTTTGGAAGGAGTTGGCAGCGAGACATGAAAGGCTCAGGGAGAGCTCGAAAAAAGAGGGAGAAAAAAACTGGAGCAAAGCACAGACAGGGCTGGGACAGGAGCCAGGGGATGGGGAAGGGCTGTGCCTGCAGCCACAGCTCCAGAGCTGAGCAGGGAGAGGCTCTTTTCCCTGCAGTTCTGCACTGAGCTGGTCCTGGCTGCTGCCTGCACAGAAGGGAGCTGGGCTCCGTGCCGAGGAGCTCCCTCCGTCCTTTGTGGGAAGCATCTCCACAGCTCCATCCCTACAACCCCATCCCTACAACCCCATCCCCACAGTCCCATCCCCACAGTCCCATCCCCACAGCTCCATCCCTACAACCCCATCCCCACAGCCCCACAAATCCATTTCTACAGCCCCATCCCCACAGCTCCATCCTCACAGCTCCATCCCCACAGCCCCATCCTAACAACTCCATCCCCACAGCCCCACAAATCCATTTCTACAGCCCCATCCCCACAGCTCCATCCTCACAGCTTCATCCCCACAGCCCCAGGCCTGGGAGCTGCCCCCAGACCCCATCCCAGGGCTGTCCCAGGGCTGTCCCCATGCCCAGAGGGGCTCAGGAGGTGCCAGCAGCTGTTGGGGAGCACCTTCCCCATGTAAATTCCAGAAACCCTCAACACCTTCCCCAGGTGAATTCACAAACCCCCAGCACCTTCCCCATGTAAATTCCAGAAACCCCCAGCACCTTCCCCAGGTGAATTCACAAACCCTCAACACCTTCCCCAGGTGAATTCACAAACCCCAGCACCTTCCCCAGGTAAATTCCACAAACCCCCAGCACCTTTCCCATGTAAATTCCAGAAACCCCAGCACCTTCCCCAGGTGAATTCACAAACCCCCAGCACCTTCTGCAGGTGATTCCACAAACCCCAGCACCTTCCCCAGGTAAATTCCACAAACCCCAGCACCTTCCCCAGGTAAATTCCACAAACCCCAGCACCTTCCCCAGGTGAATTCCACAACCTCAGCCATTCTCAAGGGCTGTGTGTGGACACAGCCCTGGCCTGGTTCTGTCTCAGATATCAAACCCCAGCTCTGAGCAATCCTCCCCCCACGTTTACTGCAGCACAGCCCTGCCAGGAGCAGCTGCTCTCTGTGGCATTCTGCTGTGGCAAATCTCGGTTTGTTCTCCATTTACAGCCTCAGAGCCCGTTTTTTGCTGTGTATTCTCAGTCCTTCTGAGGGCTCCTCTCACCATTTACAGCCTCAGCCCTCCGGGGCTGCTGGACCTCCCTCCTCCCCTTGGTGCTGACCCCTTTTCAATCATCAGCCTCCTTTATAGAGAACCAGGGAACAATATCTCCTTGGCTGCACTTTGCTGACCTATCACACTGCAGGATGGGGGCACTGGGGTCACCACAGGAGCTGACAGATCCATATGCATGGGCTGCTGCATTTTGGGACCCAGAGCACGCGTTGCTGCAAGGGCAACAGGCAAATCCTGTGGCAAAGCCTGCAAGGAATGAGAAGCAACAGCCCCCAGCTCCTGGAGTCTCCCCAAGGCAGAGCCGTGGCTGGAAATGGAATTAACGTTCCAGGAATATTCTATTATTTGCTAATTCTCTTCACATCTTTTTGTTTCACAATTAAGCAAATTAGCGCTTTGATGAATATTAAGACGCTCTTGCCTCATAAAAGATGAGTTAGAGGCATTCCCCCTGGACTTTGCTCCTAATGAAAACACTTCCTCAACTGTTTGAGTTCCACACTGGGTCCTTTCCTCCCTGTTGGGAGCATGGGCAGCACGTGGCTCCTGCACAGTGACCAAGCATTAACATTTGAATAAAATAATTCAATTGCAAAGTTTGCACAGATCTCATTATCCAGCCTGAACTGGATGGGATCTGAAATTGTGGCTGCTCATGCAAGTGTCTGTCCCTGAGTGTCTCCAACAGGCACAAAATGCCTTCCTCAGCCTCAGGGGTTCACTCACTCGAGGCTTTCAGTGGGGAGAAGCCTTTGCCCTCTCCTCAAACATTTCTCCCTTGTTTTCAAATAACTTTTTAACCAAGGAACCCCTGCGGCTCATGGCCGAGGTAGGAACAGCTCAGAGCCCCAAACCAGCTCAGTTCCCATCCCTTCCAGCCAGGAACAAGCAGGTTCAGCTCTCCCCCAATGATGCCAATTTCTGCTCAGGGGCACAAAAACCCAAGCTGCTCCTGGCGCTCCAAGCCCTTATCCCCATGCAGCCCCTCGGGGCTGATCTCCAGAGCACGGTGCTGAGGGAAGGAGCAGGGATGCCCCGGGCAGGGCAGCAGGCACTCACCTGGCGCTCTGACATGACGTACAGGTACTTGTGGTCCATGGAGAAGGCCATGTCCCGCAGCACCGGGCTGCCGTCCTTGAACACCGGCACCACCTCGTACTGGATCCCGCCCTGGGGCGGCCCGTCCGCCCGGATCTGCAGGGCAAAACACACACACAGGTCAGGGGCACTCACAGCTGACAAATCCTGCCCTTGTTTTGGGGTGAGGGAAGAGGGGGACAAGGTAGGGAAAGGAATGAATCCAAAAATTTCAGCTTTGAACTGCAGACAGAGCAGAGTGGGAGCAGGAGCTGGAGCGAAGGCTCTGTCTCCACTGCAGCCAGTGTGATTTCTCCACTCCAGGAGAAATAATAAGAGAGTTTTGTGGTTGCAAGGCGAGCACAGAGACCTCCAGTGAGCCATGATTGACCATCCAGGGGGAAGGAAAACTGTAAACTTTTAAGATTCTCTCTAAAATAAACCTGAAAGAAGACCACAAAACTCTACAGCCAACAGCAAAGCCAAGATACTGCAGAGGTATATTTTAATTCTCCAGACACCTATAGAATGACACTTGGATAATCTCCACCACCTCTTCCTGGCACGGAATCCTCCTGGAGCATCATCCCTGCTTAAAACCTGGGGATGCTTCTGCCACTTTCCTGCCTGGAGGGTTCAGCGAGGCAAGGCCAGCCCAGCCCGTCGTGCTGAGCGAGCAGAGCTCTGGCACAGCACCACAAGCTCCAAGCATCCCTCCATCCTTCCCAAACACCGCCCTGCTCCCGCAGGAAAACCTGCCCGGGCTGTGACAAGCCCCATCCCTGCCAGCAGCCGCTGCTGCGGAGGAAACGCCGCCTTCTCTTGCCCGAGTGAATAATTGATGGCCTCGGGGGCTGTGCGCGGGGAGGGCAGCGGGAGAAACAAACTCCTGACATTGCCTTTCCCACCAGGATCTGCGCGTTTGGGGAGATGCGGGGTGGGAACGGGGCTGGGGGAGCCATGGGCGGGCAGCGACAGCGGGGATGGGCCGGGGATGAGCCGGGGATCGCCGGGAATGAGCCGGTGATGTTCCAAGGATGTACCGGCAATTGCCGGGATGTCCCGGGAATGTGTCGGGAATTGCCGGGGATGAGCCGGGAATTGCTGGGAATTGCCGGGATTGTCCCAGAAATGAGCCGGGAATTGCTGGGATGTGCCGGGGATGTGCTGGGAATGTTCCGGGATGCGCCAAGGATGTACCGGGAATTGCCGGGAATTGCCGGGAATTGCCAGGAATGAGCCGGGAATTTGCCGGGAATTGTCGGGAATTGCCGGGAATTGTCGGGAATTGCCGGGATGCGCCTACCGCCCCTCCAGGAGAAGGAACACGGCCCTAGGCAAACTCCTTATCCCAGAGGTGCCATCGGCTCCCGCCGGGCTGTGCTGCCCCGGCCCTTTCTGCCACCCCGAAATTCCCTGCCTGGCTGCACAACGGAGCAAAAGGCAGGAAAACCCCAAGGCCAAACCTTCGGAAGAGGCAGGACTGGCACAGAAAGGGCTGGCTCTTTTTTCTGATGCATGTTCCCAGAAACCAAGAGAGCAGATTGTTAAAAATCTTATGGTTTAGCTGAGAAATGAGCCACCCCAGCTGGAAATACCAGGGGAGAAACTCCTCTGCACCCTCTCCAAATAAATCCTCCCCTTGGAAAGGGCCCCGGTGCCTCCTGCCATGCACAGACATGTTGGATACACACAAACACATTCATTTCCTGCATTTCTCTCTTTTCCCCTTTACCTCCCGAGCGTTCAGTGCTACAGAAGGACATCAGGTGGGAATGTGAGTGCTCTGTGGAACACCCACAGCCAGGCACAGAACCCCTGGCAGGATTAAGCTGCCAGCCCAAGCCTGCCTCGAAAGCCCTGAATTTTCAGAAAGCAAAATCCCCCAAAAGGCAGAAGGTCAGAGAAAGCAAAATCCCCCAAAAGGCAGGTCAAACCCTGCTTTAATTCCACCTGTGAGAATTAGGATTGTCACAGCCCCAGTGAAATACCAGGAATCAGAGGCAGAGCCACACCAGTATGAGCCCAGTGCCTTACTGGGTGCTGCCACCGGAGTCACCCACGCTGCAGCGGGGACAGAGGGACAGAAATCACCAGGAATAAAGAGCAGGAACGCGGGGCTGCCAGGGCTCCGCAGCCACCGTACAAAGGGCTGATTAATGGCCAGACAGGAATGGGAGCCCGGACATGAAGGATCAGCAGCCTTTGTGAAAAACAACTGTTTTCCAGAGTTCCCTCAGGGCACCAGCAGCTCGTTAAATTGAGCTTCTTTCTAGTAATGAGGTCAGACAGGGCTAATAAAGAGAGATACCACTGGACAAGGCTGGTGCAGACCAATTCCAACTGGGAATTGCAGCTCGGGGCTGGAGGCAACGCTGAGTGCCCCTCCAGCCCGGCTGAGGGCTCGGAGCTGTGCCTGGGATGGGTTTGGTGCCTGGGATGGAGTTTTGGGGCACAGCACGGGGTGCTGGCACTGCCTGCGTCCTCCTGCCCCCACAATGGCCAGGGAGCAGCCCCGGGGCTCTCGGGGGTTCTGTGCCCAGGGCACAGGACAGGGGGACAGCAGAGCCTCCCTGGGTGGGTGTTGGAGCCCCAGAGCCCCCAGAACCCCCAGAGCCCCCTGGCCACAGCCCTGGCCGAGGGCACCCAGTGACACCGGGATGCTCCACTGCATCTCCAGCTCAGGGCTCGGTTTCCATGGCAACAAATGATGATGTCAGAGAGGAGAGCGATGATTCCTGCGGCCGGGGAGGAAGAAAGGGATCATCTCACACAGCAGAAAGCCTCTTGTTGACGTTTGGGGAGGGAAATCATTCCTCTGCCTCACATGTGGGTGCCCTGCTGGGGCCTGGCAGCTCCTGAGCTGTCTCTGGAGCAGGGGTGGGACCAGCACTGCACCTGCGGGCTCATCCCAAATCCAATCCAGGGCTCTTTCCCAAATCGAGGGTTCACCCCCAACCCAGGGCTCACCCCCAACCCAGGGCTCACCCCCAATCCAGGGCTCTTCCCCAATCCAATCCAGAGCTCTTCCCCAATCTGGGGCTCACCCCCAAACCACGGCTCACCCCCAATCCAGGGCTCATCCCAATCCAGGGCTCTTCCCCAATTCAGGGTTTATCCCATTCCAGGGCTCACCCCCAATCCAGGGCTGGTCTGGCACGGCCCTGGGGGACAGGGGAGCACAGGGATGGGCTGGGATCCCCCAGTCCCATTTGCTCCTGTCCCCACCCTTCTCCTGACAGGGTGATGGCCGTGGAAGGGATCAGGAGAGGGACACAGAGGGAAGAGGGTGGGGATGGATGGAGCACAGGGGTGGGAGAGGCACCTCAGGAGCTGGAAACAGGGATCAGAGGGGCAGCAGAGCCCAGGAGGACACGCCATGGGCTGCCACACTCGGACAGGGACCCGAGGAGCTGCCCGGGCCACATCCAGCCCGTCCCTCCTGCTGGGTGTTTACAAATCTCTGCTGAGAAGTGCCTACTGACATAATCTGCAAATCCAAACTCATCCCAGCTCACAGGGCAGCCCGATGGAGGAGCAGGATGTGCTGGGTGCAGGAGCTGCAGCCCTGCAGAGCTCACACTGAGCTCTCTAATACCCCCACAATGCAGCTGCAGGCTAAGCTGGGCTTTATCAGCAGAGATTAGCCAAATACCACATTGTGGCAGCGTGTAGGAGCCACTCACGGATCTAATCTGACATGAAGCTCCAGCACACCTCGTGCAGGAAAGTTCCCCCCAGGTGCTGTGCCCAGGCAGTGCCGGTGCTGGGATAGCTCTGCATTCCCCCCAGCAGGCTCCCATTAGGAGACATCGAATCTCTTCGCAGGAACTTTCCGTGATTAAATTACCTGTCTGTTTGCATTAGGGGTGTTTCCAGCAGGCTGACTCAGGGTGGAATTCCTGGTGCCAGGGAAAACAGCTGAATAAGCCCGAGCATGAGGGGCTGATTGCCCAGCCTGGGTCCTGCAGCGGGGCCACCATTGACTCCTCCCCACCTCTGCAGGGGCCTCATGGTCCCAAAGCACTCTGGTTTCCATGTGGAAACACCACGGAGGCAGTGGAGGGGTTCCTAAGTGGATCCCCAGTGCCAGGAGCAGCAGGCGCTGCCTGAACTTGCTGATTTTTGTAATGGCATTGAAGTGAAATCTGGCCCTGCATGATTCTCTCCGTCCTGCATCCTCAGACCCCCACAGCAACATCCAGGAGAGGAGAATCCACATCTGGAACTGCAAATTATTACCCAAAAAGTTTCCAGGCCCCTGCAGGATCCCTCCCCATGTCCCCATCCAGCCTTCCCTGCAGGCAGGAGCAGCAGGATGGGACTGGGCTCCATGTGGGAATTCTCCCCTTGGAATTCAAGTGCAACAGGAACCCCATTGTGTGCCTTTCCTTTAAATCACAGATGTGTCCCTGAGAAAGCTAATGACAAACCTTACATGAACATTCCATTCCAATCAGCATATCCAATTAACTTCATTACCTGCAGGCTCCCTCTCTGCCAGGCTCTTTCTCTCCTGTCACATTTTCTTTATGCATTTCTCCCACATTAGGAGGGAATGGCTCTGTCCCCGTGGGCACCACCTTTGTCTTGGCCCCACAGCCTCCATGGATGGGTCCCTGCAGGAGCCCATGGTGCTGTCAGGCTGGGAGCAAAGCAGCTCCTGAGAGCAAATCCATCCCCTCCCAGCTCACACTGCCCAAGTGAACATTAAACACTCTCACTGATCACTGCTGGGGCTGCCCGTGCAAAGCCCTGGGGAGAAAGGCTGCACAAAGTCTGCACAAAGTCTGCATTTCAGGCCCTGGCGGATCATCCCAGCACCCCCCAGCTCCCCAGGAGAGCCACACAGGTCCCCTCTCACCTGGAGCCCACCTTTCCAATGGAGTAAATTGGGAATTTAAAATTGCCCCTGGCTCAGACAATTCCTGCCTTGCAGGATCTCTGACTCTCCTGGCTGTGCAGCTGGGGCTGGGTTTGTACCTTGGCGTTCCAGGGGGTGGGAGAGGGAGCAGGGTGGGCAGGCAGGGTGGGCAGGGACCCCCAGCCTCACTGTCTGTGTGGGGGCACCCACAGTGTTGGATCTGCCAGGAGAAGACATTCCACAAACATTTATT